TTTTTTTTTTTTTAATCTATCACCTCCAGCATATGGAGCCAGCGCCCTACTCCTTTGAGCCACAGGCGCTGCCCACCTAATCCTATTGAGACAGTATTTTGCAGTTGAGGAAACTGAAGCACTTAGGTTAAATAAATTGTTAGAAGCTGCACAGCTAGTAGGCCTAGAAGTTTGAACCCCTGCAAGCTCATTCCAGAAGCATGAGTTAGGCTGCCTAGCCTCCCTAAAATACTATTCTGTCATGATTCTAATCCATTCCAAAGGCTTTGTATGCTTCCTGCCTACCTCAGGATTCAGCTCCACTCATATGTCTAGGATGTCTACCTAGGACCACACTGCTTCATATTAACGTATCAAGGCATGCTTGTGCTTGAAATCCTCTAATATCTTATTGCGTTTAAAATAAAATCTACTCTTTGTGGTCTGGTCTCCTGCCTTACCTGACCTCCACTTGAGCTGCAAAAGGATGCCTCCAGTTCCCCTGCCTATTTCCCCTTCACCCCTACTCCATGCCGTACTCTGGTCTGTCATTTGCTTGTCTCTACAGTAGGGGATATGTTCCTTGAGAGCTACATCCTGGGTGTAAGAATGGTCCCTGATACTCAGGTACTGGACAAATGCTTATTGAATGAGTTCTGTGAAGAGCACTTAGCGCATGGCATTGCAGTTTTATATCCCCAGAGATTGTGAATTGGAGAACAGCACTGTCAGTGCCTGATACTCAGTTACAAGTTGTATAGATAAATATTCCCAGCTGAGCGCCTTGTAGTTCAGGGGCTAGGGCGCCAGCCTCATACACCAGAGCTGGTGGGTTTGAACTCAGCCTGGGCCTGCCAAACGACAACTACAACAAAAAAATCGCCAGGCATTGTAGGCACCTATAGTCCCAGTTTCTTGGGAGGCTGAGGCAAGAGAATCACTTAAGCCCAAGAGTTTGAGGTTGCTGTGACACCACAGCACTCTACCCAGGGCGACATAGACTGTCTCAACAAAATAAATAAATATTCCCACTTCCAACAGTTATTTATAGTGTAGAAAAAAATTCTTTTTAGGTCCTGCATCTCCAGTATGGAATGTATGTTTGGCCCTGTGCTGTGGTCCTGGCCCAGTACCTGTGGTTCCACAGAAGATCTCTGCTGGGCAAGGCTGTCTTAGAGGTACCAATGCCCTTGAATTTTCTAAATTTTCACATGTTAAATCTTAACTGCTTTTAAGTTCTGTGAGCTCAAAGTATTTTTTAGATTCATAAAGTGTTTTTAAAAAATGATGCCAGGCTGGGCGTAGTGGTTCACACTTGTAATCCTAGCACTCTGGGAAGCCAAGGTGGGTGGATTGCTTTTTCTTTGACTGAGTCTCACTGTGTTGCCCTGAGTAGAATGTGATGGTATCATAGCTCACAGCAGTGAGCTCAGGAGTTTGAGACCAGCCTGACCAAGAGTGAGACCCCCATCTCTAAAAATACCCAGGTGTTGAAGTGGGTATCAATAGTCCCAGCTGCTTCGGAGGCTGAGGCAAGAGGATGATACCATCGCATTCTACCAGGGCAACACAGTGAGACTAAGTCTAAAGAAAAAAAAAAAGATGCCAGCACTGTGGTTCACACCTGTCTATAATCCTAGCACTCTGGTTATGTGTGTGTGTGTGTGTGTTTGGGGGGGCGGGGCGAGGCAGGATGATTGCATGAGACCAAAAGTTTTGAGACCATCCAGGCAACAGTGAGACCCTGTCTCTATGAACTTAGAAAAAAAAATTAGCCAGGCATAGTGGCACTCTTGTCTCTAGTCCCAAGTACGAGGGAAGCTGAGTCAGGAGAGTCATTTGAGCCTGGGAGTTTGAGGTTACAGTGAACTATGATGCCGTTACACTCTAGCCCAGGCAACAAAATGAGACTGTCAAAAAAAAATATGAAAAACTGAAGGTGGCCCACAAAGCCAAAATATTTGCTCTGGTCCTTTACCTTTTGCTGATCCCTATTCTAAAACAGGGTCTTGCTGTCCCTCAGGCCAGAGTGCAGTGCCTGGATCATAGTTCAATGCCACCTCTAACTCCTGGGCTCAAGTGATTTTCCCACCTCAACCTCCAGAAAGCTGGAACTAGCTCTCGGTTGAGTTGAGATCAGGCTAGTTTGCTTAGGGTGGTCTTTAACTTCTGGGCATGAGCGATCCCACTTCAGCCTCCCTCCCAAAGCTTTGGGATCACAGATGTGACACCACACCCAAACTCCAGGGCCTCTATTTAAAAGGGCACTAATCTCGTTGTGATGCATCTACCTGCTGATCCAAAGGCCCTCCCACCACATTTTACATCTATTTAGGAATTTTGGATGCACGCAAACATTCAGACCATAGCATAGCCCTTTCTGTTTTTGGAAATTACTTTAAAAACATACTTAATTGG